TCCCCGCCCGGTGTCTGTCCCTCCCCTCCAGCGTCCCCGCCCGGTGTTTGTCCACTTCCAGCGTCCCCGCCCGGTGTGTGTCCACTTCCAGCGTCCCCGCCCGGTGTCTGTCCACCTCCCAGCGTCCCCGCCCGGTGTCTGCACCCAGCCTCAGTTTCCCAGCTCCGCGTGGGTCTCGGGCCACTGTCCCCGCCCCGCCCCCAGTGGCGTCGCCCCGCCCTTGCGTTGGTGCCCGCTCCTCCGGGCCCGCCTCCCGCGCCGTCACTTCCTCCCGGGCCCGCGAAGGCCCTGCCGGGCGGCAGCAGCCCCGAACCATGGTGGCACTGGAGGACCCGGCGAGCGGCCCAGAGGAGGAGGCTGCGGCGGCGGCGGCGGGGGCTCCTCCGGGCGGGCATCGGATGCTGTGAGCGCGGGGGGACGGGCCACCCCTTCCCCTCTCTTCCCGCGGGGTCTCGGGCTCCAGCCCCGGACCGCGCCCCTCTGCCTTGGTTTACCTCGCGGGGGGGCCCGTGTTGTTACCCTAGTATTTACCAGGCGGCGAGATCCCTGCCCCACACGCTTCCGGATCCTTAGGGGGGCACACCCCGCTTTATGGCTCTCGGTACCCCCCGGGCTGTCTCTACCCGTCTGGGGGCATTTGCCGGCCAGGGGTCCAGGGCTCCTCGGCGGCTCGGTGTGCGAGCCGGGGTCCCAGGATCGGGACCCTTACCCCACGCGGTGGGCAGCCAGCCGGCCCCTCGCTGCCCATTTGGGGTGGCCAGCTCCCCTTTCTGGGTCGACAGAGTAAACACCCGGATTAAGGCGGCGGGGGCCACACCTGTGCTTGACGGTAAATGGGTGACCCTATGTGGGTATTTACCCCTGCAACTTGGGTGTGGACGTGGAAAGCCGGCTGTCGTGGTGTGGGTGGTGGGGGAGGCCTGAAGTCTGGGCCCCTTTCTCTTGCCCAGCCCAGTGCCTCAGTTTCCCTGTCTATAAAAGGCTGTCATAACGGTATTATCTTCCCAGAATCTTAGGGGTCAGTGATCCAGCAGTTGGCAGATGTTGGGGCAAACAGGAGCTTCCGAATCTTTAATGATGATTTAAAATACCATAGTATTTGAATTATTTTTTGAAATTAGTATTTCATTATTTGTGCTGTTAGTGATGGTTTTTGTGGGTGGTGGTCTTAGGTGCTGCGGGGTCTGTTCTGGTTTTCTTGGCTGTCATCTTTATGGAAGCTGATCATGTGGCATTTCTGCCTTGGAGCCACTGGGTGGGTTCGAACTGTTGACCTTTTAGCTAGCAGCTGAGAGTTAAGCCCTTGGGCCACTAAGGACTCTTCTGTTACAATTATATGGTTATTGTTAATATCTTCACCTGGGATCTTACCCAGAGACTGTGGGGTGTGTGCATCTGGACCAGGGTACTTATTTCTTCTGAGAGGAAGTTGAAACACCCCAAGGGGGTGTTTATCCTGTATGGGCCTAGCCCTCTCCTCCCTGGGTCTTTAATCGCCTGGGGATAGCTAGGTGGTGTACAAATGTGTAAATCCGTACCTGTGAACAGGGATATGTGAGTCTCTAACTCACCTGGTCTTAACCCCCCACTCCCACCCTGTTTCCCCAGCATCTCCATTGTAGTCTCCACTTGCCAAATATTTACCTGCCAGGCCCAAGCCTCTGGCGGTCCCTTGGGCCCCTCCCCACATTCTGGGTGGGGTTGCAGACCCAGGTTTCCCTCAATCATTCCAGCTGGGCTGAGTCACCTCCGTTCAGAGACCTCAGTTTCCTGTTCTGAGAAGTGGGTTCCCTCTTGTCCGTGCCCTGGGTGTATGTACCAAGGAAGGTGTATTCCTGCTTAGAAAGTCAGGTTTCAAAGGACCCCAAGGTAAAATGCAAAGGGAACAGAGCTGGGTACAGCAAAGGACTGTTCCCCACAAGTCACTGGGGCTGTGGGCACCTGGGTGCTGAGAATGCCCATTCTTTCACCACACTTGGACTCTAGCCACAGACAACCCTGAGCCACCAGCTTCCCCTGACTGGGTCACCAGCATTTAGCAAGTCTTTGCCTTAACAGCTGTTCCTGCTAGCCCTCCCTCAGGGGGCCTCAGCCTTTCCTTCTGTAAAGTGGGAAGCTGGTGAACAGGCACACAGATGAGTGGGTATGTAAACAAGGTTAGTTATTCATCCACAAACATGTAACCTGTGCCTGCTATCAATTCGCTGACCCACATGTTGTTGGAGTGGAGCTCGGGGTCTATTGGGGCAGGTGGTGAAGGTGGAAACAAGTAAATGAATGGCTGATTTCTGATGCCAATTGGGTGCTGGGCTCTCTGGGAAGTGAGATTTGGGCATAGACCAGAAAGAACTTGAGAGACAGTGGTCCGGGCAGTGAGCTCAGCATGCGTAAAGGCCCTGTGGTAGGACTGTTTCTGGTGAGTTTGAGGTACAGTGAGGAGGCCCAGTATCTGGAGAGGAAACAGGTGGGATTGGTGGGGTGTAGATATTTTGATGTGTAAACATGTATGTTTACGCCGAGGTCCAAGCACCTTCTTACAGGCCTGATTTGCTGTGTTTATAAGCTGCTACTCTGCCCTTCCCACTTCTGTGTCTTCTCTCTGGTTGGTGACTCCCTGCACCCTGTCCCAGTGACCAAGCTGTTCTTATCTCCTGCCAGAATCCTGTTGAAGTTGGCATGCTTGGTTGGCAGTGGTGGTGGTTGTTACGTGCCGTTGAGTTGTTTCCGACTCATAGGTGGTGGGTGTCCCTTCTCAGTGCTCAGCTCAGAGCTGCAGGTCTGAGTAAGGCTAAAGAAGCTTGTGAGGGACTGGGCACAGGGACAGGCAGAGCCTCCAGCTGAGGTGGGCCTTGCCATTTGGGTACTTGGGAGCAGTGGATGGTGTTTGAGCAGGGGCAGGTCCGTCTTGTGGGGAGAAGACGGGCAGGCCAGGGTTGATGGGGCAGCTCAGTGACTTAGGGTAAGCTGTACTGCTCAGAGCTGGCTTCAGATCCTGACTCTGCCCCTTGCATCTGTAGTGATTAGGAGAGCCTCAGGTCTCCACTTGTAAAATGGGGGTTGCCCTAACACTGAATCTCATCCTGCCCTGACGTCCCTAACAGCTTCCTCTGATGTGGCCTGTGTTATCTGCTCTGCCAGGCGGCCTCCTGGGCTCTGTCCATATGTCAAGTGGAGAAGCTGACACGAGCTTCCTGGAGGCCCCGGGTGGGGCTGAGCTGGAGGGGGCTCAAGCCTGGACAGGCCACCCTGCCACTGGGTCTGATCTCATGCTGAGGACTTGGTTCCTGGGTTCTGCTGATAGATGCTACGATGCCCCTCAGCAGCTGTGGGCTCTTGGGGTAGTGTCTTCTCTCTGGGCCTTGGTTTACAAATCTGTAAAGTGAGTCTCCAAATAGTAGTTTCTGCCTCCTGGGGAGTGGTACCAGAGATGTTGCTGTGATCCAGATCAAGAACAAACGGTGTTGAGGGGGTGAGCTCCCTGTCACAGGGGGAAACCTAGCAGGTGGAAGCTGAGACAGAGTGGTAGGGTGTCTGTCCTAGCTCATCTTGGCTCACAGGCACCTGCAGAAAGTGACCGGAGGCCCCAGAGGGCCCAGTGGAATAGTATCTCAGCTGGGGTTTAAACCTGGGGCTGAGATTCATTCAGGGTTCAAGCACCTCACTGCAACTGATTGAGGAGACAGTTTGGGACTGAGAGCTCCCGGTGCCTGGTTCAGAGTTCAAACCTGGCCTGTGCTTCTGCCTGTGAACGTGTGTGTGTAAGTGTGTGTGTGTGTGTGTATATGTATGAGTGAGTGTGTGTAATTGTGTGTGTATGTGTGTGTGTTAGAGTGTGTGTTGTGTGTGAGTGTAAGTGTGTGTATGTGTGTGAGTGTGTGTGTGGTGTGTGTGTCTGTGTGTGTAAGTGTGAGTGTGAGTGAGTGTGTGTCTGTGTGAGTGTGTGTATGAGTGTGTGTGTGATTGTGTGTGTGATTGTGTGTGTGTGTTAGTGTGTGTGTTAGTATGTGAGTGTGTGTTAGTGTATGTGAGTGTGGTGTGTGTGTGTCTGTGTGTGTGAGTGTGTGTATGTTAGTGTGTGAGTGTGAGTGTGTGTGAGTGTATGAGTGTGTGTGTATGTGTGTGTGAGTGTGTGTGTGTGTTAGTGTGTGTATATGTGAGTGTGTGTGTGTATGAGTGTGTGATTGTGTGTGTGTGTGAGTGTGTGTGTGTGAGTGTGTGGTGTGTGGTGTGTGTGTTAGTGTGTGTGTGTGTTAGTGTGTGAGTGTGTGGTGTGTGTGTGTGACTGGACCTGTG